ACGGGGACATGCTGGTGCCCACCATGTAGGAGGGAGACTGCGCTCTGGACGGCACCGAGCTGACCCGTCGCATCACACGGTTGGCAGCGGTAGTGCCTGAAGGCTGTTGGAAATCAAAGACATTTGAGTTTTATCACTTAGGTCACAGAGTGGATATCGTTCTCCTGTGAGATGGACAAGTCAACAGGAAATGCACACAACCGAATGGCATATACGGGCAGCTGGAGTCTAGCTTTTACCCCAAACCTAATTCCTTCAAGTTTTCCTGTAACTTTTTTCTAACCAATGCTTCTTAGTATATAAAATGACAATTTAACATTAAAAACCCACCTGTTTCTCATTCTCATTTGGCTTGCTATGTTAATCTTCACCTATATTTTCCTCCCTCACTACTCAACCACTCTGGAAACTCAGGAACAGTAATGCAAAGAGTTCTGGTATAATCCAGAAATATTCTAACAATTATTGTCTCACTATCATTCCACTTACTGAAAAAGGAGGGAAAAGCTAGAAACCATAGAATGTGCAGGAACACAAGTAGCATTTTCCTTTAAGAACTATGCTTACATACAGGCTAACATCTAGGAAGGTTTTCCCCCATTTCACAATGAATTTTGAGTGAGCGATACTTTCTTGATATGATAATAGCAGTGTACGGTGGGGTCAGGAATGCTACTTCACTTCAGCTCCTGTGAATGACCCAGACCCGCGCTGATCCCAGCAAAGGAGTCTCTGCTGCAAGCCCTTCCCGCTTTGTAACCAGTGAAAGCATTAAATAAAATCTAATTTGGTAACATTAGCTCCAGCCCGTGCAAAGGGGGGCCCAGCCACACAGCTGCTGCACACCAGAGTGCCCGGGGCACTGCTCAGAGTACCTGCGCTGACGCCTGCCCCTCGGCGCGCGAGCTCCTCACCGCATCGTGGCTGTTGAGGGCTCCTCCAAGGGAGTGCTGCTGTCTGAGCTCTGCCTTGCTCAAGTTTTGGCTGTTATGGAAACTGCTTATTTCCTGGTAACCACTGTCAGAATAAGAATTCATTTGTGTCGAACTTCTTGAGTTACCTACAGACCCTGTAAATATGAAGCCAGCATAAGAATAAAATAATCTAACAAGTCCACCAAGTATTATATAACTTCATTATTTGTTGCATTCATAACTATATTGCATTTTTATACTTTCAATACTTTATACATTTTATACTTTCAATAGAAATATATTCTAATATTTAAAATGCACACAACAGACCCTCACTTTCATGGAGAGATGTCTGCTCTGGTGAGTAGAGAGTCCCTTGCTCTGCTTCTGTCCTAATATCATAGGCATTGGTGTGAACACCCTCTGACACCTGGGGCTTGCTTACACTGGTGGGCGGAGGATCTGAAAGAATAAATTGTTTAGATAAATCCAGTGTTCCATATGCAAGTTTCCTGCAAACTCAGTAATGATCATTTTCTCGTACATACTAATGGAGGACTTACACCAAACAGAATCAGTTTACTTGCAGACAGGTATCATCTCCCAAACACAATTAACAGAATGTTAATATAAATATCTGAGAATTTTTTTAGATGTAGCTCTACAACTCTAATTTTTCAAATATATGTTCCAGCCTATTTTAATGAAAAATTAATTTATTATCTAGTACACTCTGAAGAATAGAAACACTGTGCAACTGTGCTGCAGTGCCCAGTGGATAGCTGTCCTTGTTTAAGGGCCTGTAATCAATGCCTCCAGATGTAAAAGGCTGAGCTGAATTTCATCCCTGTTTATGTACTATGAACAGTAGTTGCTGCAAATTTCTATACATATTTTTTTACTTAGTAAACTAATATCTAAATATATGCCTCTTAAGCTAACTTCAGTTCTAAGAATGCCAGCTGAACTGTACAGACAAATGACAGTGTTGTAAGGAAAGGCAAAGGAGGCACAGCAATGCTCCTATGGTGAAAGGAAAAAGTTAAAGAGTCTGGAAAAAAAGGACAAAGATGAGGATACTGATTCAACATTATTTTAACAGAAACATTAGTCATTCAGTGACTCTGTTAAGCAGGCAGCAGAGATGCAGTGCAGACCCACAGGATGGTTTGGGCTGGAAAAGGCCTGTGAGACCATGGAGCCCAGCTGTGCCCCAGCACAGGGCCACCATGGTTTGGAAAAGGCCTGTGAGACCATGGAGCCCAGCTGTGCCCCAGCACAGGGCCACCATGGTTTGGAAAAGGCCTGTGAGACCATGGAGCCCAGCTGCGCCCCAGCACAGGGCCACCATGGTTTGGAAAAGGCCTGTGAGACCATGGAGCCCAGCTGTGCCCCAGCACAGGGCCACCATGGTTTGGAAAAGGCCTGTGAGACCATGGAGCCCAGCTGTGCCCCAGCACAGGCCACCTCTGCCCCATGGTCCCAAAGTGACACATCCACACGGCTTTTAATCCCTCCAGGGACGGGACCCCACCCTGTCCTGGGCAGCCCTTCCATGAAGAATTCCCCTAATATCCAAGCTAAACAGAGTAGGCAATGGAGGTTATGTTTAAAGGTAACACCTGAAATGCAAATTCTGGCTGCAGAAATCCATGAAAGTGCCTGGAGCAAATCCAACGGGAGTGTGCCAAGGAGCACCAGCCCAGCCCCAAGGATTGCTTGGTGGGGCTTGGTGGGCTCTGGGCAGCAATGCCTGATGCACAGAAATACTCTGGCTCTCACCAGAGGCTGCACACAAAATGCTGGTCTCTCACTACCTGCATAATGACCCATAAGGAACATCCATACTAAAAATGTTGCTCAGCAATTGCTATTATGAAGAATGGTTGAATGCTAGTCAGGTTTTTAAAAAAAATCAATAAATCCTAGAAATCCCAGGCAGTCAGCAGTTATTTACCAGTAGTACATTCTTAGGTTAAAACTAGCTTGTAAAATTTGAGGCTAGTTATTTTACTAGAATAGGAGTATTATGACCCAATTTAATTAAGATTTAATAAGAAGTGTTACTACACTTCCATTACTTTAATCATCAGTATGCCTAGAAATGATCCAGAGAACCAACACTGCCAGAACTGACTTCACAGCCTGTTACACCAGCTCAACACCAGATGGTAACAGCCACCAGTGGGTGTTCCACGTTCTTCAGAATAAAACATTTGGAGGACTTGCACATTTACATTAGGATTACATCCAACTTCAATACTTGAAGCTTTTTGTTTATCTAATACAAGGCCTATTATCTCAGTTACTGGATATTACATGATACTAAATCAACACCAAACTGACAATCAGTTTGGGGAGAGACGCAGGAAGATAAGGCCCAATTGTGCTGTTCAGTGCAGATGTTCCCAGGACAGAGGTTTGAGCCCAATCTCGCTCCCATCACACACTGCCCACCAGGCCAAAGCCTTCACAGGGCTAAAACATAAAGACTGTTTAGGCTGTTTAACAAAGGCAAGAATGCACAATTAAATGAATTGTTGTCTTTCTATCTGACTCCACTACCATAAAACAGGAGGAATGTCCTGAATAAAATAGTACCCTTCTTATAAATGGCTGATCTAATATTCTATTTATAAACATCTGCAAAACAACATCACTTTATATTTCTGTGAAAAATTCTGTATAATTCCACTGATGCAGAAAGCAATTACAGCTACAGTCACATCTTATCATCCACTGATGCTTTTGACATAAACCACTACCTACAGTCACAGAAAAGGTGATTTAAGGCAGTGGTTTAATACATCTTTATCTTCAGTATTTTCAGATTACAGTTCATAAAGCAACTAGTGACACTTGCACAAAACAAAGATTCATGGTGGACTGGGGAATAAAAGCTTACAATCAAACCATAATCACAGCATAAATGTAAACAGGAAATGAAATGTAGATCAGGAACTTCTAAGCAAGAAATAGGGATTTTTTCCAACATGCCCACTTCTGAGCAATTACTTCAGGAATGTCTACTTTGAATATAGAGACATGTGAAATACACATCTAGGTTTGCATTAACACATAGAGCATTGAAACAGAAGTAGAATTTTTGGCCATATCTCAAGTGACTGCTTAGCAGGGAGATGCACATTTCTAAAAAAAAAATACACAAATGTGAAGGAAGAATTAAAGAACAAAATAAAAACATGAGCTGGATGAAAGAACAAAAGAAAGAGAAAGAGAGAAAGAGAGAAAGAGAGAAAGACTAATAGAAGGTCAAAGAGAAAAGTGAGTAAGTTATGGGAAAATCAGAAGAGGAAATGAAGCAGTGGAATGGAACTGGCTGAAATAAGTAAGTAAAACAACACCTGAGAGCTCTCAGTAGGAATCTGTACCAGTTGTGAAATATCATTGGGACATTACAGAGCAAGGGGAAACAATGTGATTTAAAAAACTGCCAACAAACAAAACCCACAAATCCAACACTCACATTGAAAAAATATGTAAGACTTGTTTCTCAGTTACTTGAAAAAACAAATTTGATCTTTGTTAAAAACCACTGCTGAAAGAATACCTGAAAAGCACCACCATGACTAGCAGAAGTTAAATGGCAGTGCAAGTAGGCTGTTGATTAGCTTTAAAATAAAGGAAAAAAGCTAACATGTGCCTCACCTCAGCTGCAGCAACAGAAACCATGAAAATACAATTACGCACAAGTTTAAGGGCTTAATCTCCAAATAAAACAAAACCCAGGAACGGCATATAAAGTAATGCCGATGACGGTAATTACGAATATGCCTGATTGAGCAGCAGCAGCAGGCAGGGTGCCTGTGCCCCAGCCACACAGCACCTGCACGGGTGGGGCAGGAAGGCTCTGCAGAACAGGGCTCGTGCAACTCTCACCCCGCAATGCCAGCTGCCCTGGGGCTGCCCTGGGGCTGCCCTGGGCCGTGCTGGGCAATGACAAGAGCACAGGGTGACCCAGCACAAGAAGCCACCTGCAGCACCCCTGTCTGTGCCTGCCCTGCAGTGGCTCCTGCACGTGCCCCCAGCCCCCGACCCCGCACAGTCCAGCATCACCTGATGCACGCAACCTGTCACAGGCAGAAGGCATTATTCCAACAGAGAATGCCACCTTGAAGATACAGTCCTACCCTCTCCCCCACTATAACCAGGAGCAGATGGAGCACTACAAGAAAATGCTTATTTTGGAAAGAAAGTTCACACTATCTCAAGATAAGAAAGTAGAAAAAGCACTCTCAGAAAAATTTCCACTTATTAGAGATTTTGTCAGTTAAGTAAGAACATCTGCAAAAAAAACCAAAAAAACAAAAAAAGCAAAACAGTTTTCAAGCTTAAAACATGCAGTATTTTTTCATGCTCCTTACCTGCCAAGGGGAAGACTCACAAGTAAATTTTAGTTAATTGCAAGGAAGACTCAATACATGACAAGCTTTGTGTTATTATGTTAGAGTCACAGCTCACACAGAAATGCAAAGGCACATAAAGGTACAAGAAAAGTACTTGCAACTACCTATAAGCTCAAGCACCCTTTACAGTAACATAGACAACACGTGTCCCATACGAGACAAAGAAAACAGTAATGTCATACTTTAGAAAAGACACTTGGAAAAGATATGTAGCATCGCTGCTTAATGTTCCATTTGTGTCAAAACAAGCTATGAATGCCAAGAAAATAAATCTACTTGGGCTTAAAGCAAATTGTACATAAAAGATAATACCTGAGGATCTCCAAGGAAATGACTTCTCAGTAGAGCTGCAGAAAGAAAAAAAAATATCACACAAATGAACCATGTGGTTAGTTTTTATTTTGTTTTTAATTAATCATAGAAACCTTTACAAAACCCCCCCAGCAGATAAAACTTAAAAAATAGTTCATGTAAACACCATTCTTCAGTGCTTTATACCTGACAACCAAACCACTGGTTACCGAGTTCAATTTCCTATTAGTCTGTGGGAATTATTCCCTGTAACTTCCTGTACACACGGCAGCAGGCAGTGCAAGCTGTCTGCAGCAGGCCAGGTGAGAGCACAGCCTGTGGCAGGAGCTGCTGTTTGAGGCGCTGTGCTGTCGGTGACAGCCCACAGCAGTGTGTGCCACCAGCAGCACTCACACCCAGCGCACACACACCTGGCACCGCCAGCGCCGCTCGGCTCACACCGCAGCGGGCACTGCGCTGGCACGGCCCAGCCAAGGAGCGCTGGGATCACCACTGCAGGGCAGCTGGCTTCTACATGTACAGCAGTTCAAACATTGTAGGTTTGTTTCTGTTCCTTTTTTCACCGTTTTTTCAGTTTGTTCTCTCCTTTGTACCATCAAACCAGCTGACACACACAGCTACAGCTCTGAGAGTGGGGAGGTGACAGATGCCACTGTCCAGCTTAGCCAGATGCCTTCAGAGCCAACTACTGCACAGACCAAGCAGGTGTCTGATATCAGTGTAAAACCAAACCTTCTCCTGCATTTTTCCAGTTCTGATTTTTTAATCAAACTATCTTCATCCTTTTGTCCTTCCACCGAGACATGTGCTTTCCTATGCTCACAGTAGTACTGATGTAGGCAAATGCAGAATTCATTCATGTGTTACTAACGTTAGTCTAAATTTTTTTTTTTTTATGGGAAAATGCATTTTCTCATTCTAAATATAAAATATCAAACTTTGAATAATACATCATTTTTGCAGTGATTATAAGCTACTGTTTTCCAAATAAAAAGCTTTTCAAAGGAAAAACAGGCAAGTCCATCAGATTTGATTGTGTCTAAATATCAGCATGAGACTGTGATTTTGGATAAGATGTAGCAATTTCTAAATGACCTTCAATTTTACTTCTTTCTACCACAGCTCTACCGATTACAAAAAACTAGCTCAGCCACATGAACAGCATGAGATACTTCTTTTGTAAAACGAAACAACCATTTAGGAGCCTTTTTGGAAACAAAATATTTGTACAAAACAGTGCTAAAGACACATGCTAGCACAAACACAACTAGAGTTACAATGAGACTTCAAGTAAAAGGAGAATTCCAAGGCAGACTACAGGCATCTGAAAGTCAACCTCTGGCCCCAGAATTCTCATGCTACCTGAATACCAAGTTTTCCCCTCTTGCCCTTTTGCTCTGCTCTTGAGACTTTTTGGAAACTCAGTTCCTAACACTGGGGCAACGTGGCTCTGTGTTGCTGGCAATGGTAACGCACACTGAATACACACATATGCTTTACTGTCACACACACAGGGTTACAACCCAGAGCACATCCCTGCCCAGCACACCTCACTACCTGAATTTCCTCTACAGGTACAGAACGTAGGAATGAAAAAGGCTGCTCTGACCATGGGTCACAGGAGGAAAGCTGCTTCATTGACACTTCAACTGGTTACGCATTTAACTTGACTCTTATTAAATCATTTTGGAACAAGTCTAGCACACATCACCTACTGATATCAGCACCTGAATTTGTCACCTAGCAGAAGCAATATTTAGAAAACAGCAAATCTGTCAGTTTTGAGCAGTAACTCCAGTGCACTTCATCCTGGTGTTTAAAAGCCTCTGTGGTGACACACTGCAGGGCCCTTGCTGAGCTGTTGCTGGAATTAGTCACAATGCTGTCTCTTCCTGACAGCAGCATGTAACAGATCCAAAGAGAGACCACATGTGGCAAACTGAACTGTGGAAAATGTTAATTTAGCCCACTACTATCCTTGGAAAAGAATTAGGTTAGTAGAGTAGAGATGCAGAAATTGTCCTCTATCAGAAATACCATAACAGCTTGGTATGACGTTTAGTTTACAATTAGAGAAGATACAGACAAATATGACAGTAACACAAATATTTGGTAAGTGGACATGGAGAATGCATACAAAATGTGCTGAAGTCCATTTATGCCTTTTTTTTTTTTACCCTTTTGTTGTTTTTCCTCACTTGTATTTTTAAGGATTTGGATTGCTTTGTTTGGGTTTTTTGTTTGAGGTTTTGACTAATTTGACTTTTTGTTGTTTGTTTGTTTTTAGGTTTTGCCCCTTTCTTAATTTCACACCTTTTCCTTGCCATTTCACTGCTTTAGTTCAAAGCTATCTTAGACACAAAATTGAACTGGCTGCCAATCTGGAAAAAGTAAAAATCTAATAAATGGAAAAGGTTTTGCATGAAAACATTTAGAAACAAAACACACTAAGGATCACCAGCACTGCTTTACATTTTCATGTGGCAGCTTGCAAACACTTTCCAGCTCTGAATTGCCAGGTCAGAACAGGGGCCAGCATCTCTCAGTGAAGTGGCTCTGCCAGTCTGCTAAGGCAGAAGGGGCTGGTGGAGGTCCCAGACAGGTCTGAGCCCACACCTGTGCACAGCACAACAGGCCTTCAGAAACAGCACTGACGCTTAGGGAAATTGCAGATTTCTCATTTTGTTAAGCAGTGTGCTATTTTTAAAAAAATTATGTAAACACAATTATGATCTCCAGTTCCTAGATTGGAGAGGTCAATTCCCAGTGCATCTCTCGCAGGTTTTGCATGACATGAAACAGTTTAAGCTTATTATCTCTGCAAGTACCTCGTAAGGTGAAAAGTATTTCTGATTTAAACAGCACCACGTGAGAGAAAAGCGGTGATTTCCATTGCCTACCTTCCTGCTTGGCTGTACTGCTGCTGTCATCAAAAAGAGGCAACAGATGAAAAAATTAAGTACTATTTATTAAATATTTATAAAATGGTGAAAAGCCGTAAAAAGCTAAAAATATAATTGTGTTAAAAATGTATGTGCTTGACACATATTTGTGCAGTATTTCAGCTCCCTGCGTGGCACGCCCCCACGGTTGGCATCCGTCTGTGCTGCTGCTGGCACGCTGCCCACGGAGCTGCCAGCCACGCTCCCGTGCCCCTGCACGCTGCCTGGGCTGCTCTGCTGGGCCTCTGGCTTCCATTCCAGGCACCTACACCAACAGCACACTTACAACTACATGTGCTATATGCACAACTTAGGGTAACTCTAAATTCTTAGTATAGGGGATTTCGCTAATAAATGCCATGCACTAAACTCCATAAACTTGTATTACCCCTTACAAGCCACTGGAAATCACAAACCCCAGTATTTTGCTTTTCTTGTTGAGACAGGTAAGCAGACATTTTCACAAGTATTTTAAGTAAGTGAGGTAATTTTCAAGTCTTCAACTTTTCTAACAGCTATCTTCTTGAATCCACCAATATAACTGATTCTTCTACCCACTCTGCCAGCCCCTGTCCCAGGAACCTGACCAATCCTATGCTCCCCCCCAAAACAAATTAACCAGCACTGCCACCAAAACCAGGTAGTCCTGGGATTGCTGGCTGTTTCCAGGTGACCCTGGAAACCACTAATTCTCCAGGTGTGAATTCAGAAAGCGTCTGGAATACACTGTAATCATTACAGAGGCCTCTTGAAACTGTCCCATAACTCTTTACAGCAAATCTGCATTTTTTTAATCCTTCAGATATTAACAGAGGCGAATAGCTATCAGTGAAAATATATGTATAGAGGACATAAGCACCACTAAAAAGCCTTTAATTCCTGGGACAAATGAAAGTAAAGTCATCAGGACCTGTACCTTGTGCTGGCGATACTTGGTGACTCTGCTCCAAGCCTACATCTCTCTAGCTGATTAGCCACAATTTGCCTTTCCACTTCCAGTTCTCTGGTAAGTCTTTGAAATTGAAGCTCCTGAAATTTCAAAATAAAAAGAAAAGCATTCTTGATGTTAAAAATGGGTGTGGATTAACTGCGAAACAATCACTGATTCATCACAGTTGTGTGTTTTGACTCTTTCTTAGGTGAATAAACTACAAAAGTGGAAATTAAATGGGTCTTTAAATCAGTGATTCATGCAAATATTGATTTATCACCTGTTACAGAAAGAAAAACATGTTTAAGCATTCTTGGGTTTTATTACTCCTACAATTAAAATTTTTGTGTCTTCTTACATTACCACAGTCTAACAAAATCAGTGCCTATAAAGTCAGTCTTCAACTTAATCTATAAACAAGGAAACCGGAAAATATCCTAACCTTTCCAATCACAAGGCTTCAAACCCTAAGTTATCCTACATTCTGACTGTAGTTGGAAACCTGAAGATTTAAAACTTCAAACTGGCTGAATGTAGAGAGATGTGCTATTTCACCTTTTCTGAGTTCAGCTTTTTTATATTTCTTTCAAGGGTGATGTGGGAAATACCAGTGCTGCACAGGACGGGTGTAACTGAAATCTGGAACCATTTTCTAAAGCCCTCTGAAATCCAGACTATGTCACATCAAAGGATATTGAGGGCGTTTTTCCCCTCAGTCAGCTTTTATTGACCAGAGAAAAGGGTTCTATTGAGCAATTGCATTATTTTTCAAACTGATACTGTAAACCCATTATTCTAGAAAAGATTTTGCTGTATAACATTTCAAGTAATAAATCGCCCATTTAAATAAAAATCCCTGTTTTTTCCCCCCCACACTACAACATTCAAAGGCAGTAAAAACAGAAGAACTATATTTCTATTCTTCTTGAGAGTAGAAGAGCTGAATGATGTAAGTGGACAACACAGCAATATTTGAACTACATTTAAAACCAAAACTCGCTTGTATTCTATCAGAAAAACTGAGATGAGGAGAAAAAGCCAGCAAGCCCCATTTGCCCACTTCAGAGACACTTGCACTGCTGAGCTGGGAACAACACCATCAGCTGTCTGTTTCCATTGCTCCTCCTCACCTTATCTTGGTGGTGACCAGAAAGCCACAAACTGCACAGTGCACTGAACTGCAGAGGGGTTAGAGGCCTGCAATTCACTGCCAGTTTTAAATGCTGATGCTTAGGAAGATCCAATGTGCTTTTGCAAGTGCAAGTATAGTAAGAAAAAAAAAATCCAGCTCTATTTTCTACTCTGAGTATATTCTGGCATGCCCAGCCTGGGAGTCCAATGAAGCAGCAGTTTACAAACTTTGAAACCATGAGTGCTGATTGGTGTATGCACCTTCTTAAATTTGAGATCTGCAGCAGGTGCTTGTCTTAAATACCTGCATAAATACACAAGATGGATAGTTTTAGAGCTACCATCTTTTTACAGCTGGAATACCTCATGCTTTAAAACTTTTTTCTTTTACTTAAATCATATTATTATTATAGAAAACTAATTCCTAACCAGCTCTAAATTAATCACCTTTCTAGTTTATGTCTCCTTATAATGAAATTTTATACCATTCTGAGTGCACACTGGACATACAGCCACAATGGGTATCTATCAGACAGCACACCAGCTCTGGCAGGAATCTGTTGGAATTTGTTCTCTCTCCAGGTTCTCTGGGAGCACTGGGAGAGCTCCCTTCTTGAACAGGATGCTCCCCGCACAGAGCTCTGCCCTGGGCACCACAACACACTGACTCCTGTGGCACTGGCTACTGATAAAATGGCATTGCAGGACTCAAATACAACTCTTAAAAACCTTATTAGCATTTGCAGCAGAACATCTATGTGGCAAGCAGATAGTAGAATCAGACATAAAATTACAGAACACACTGCCATACTGCATCCCAAGGAGCAAACAAAACTTCTTAGACACACTACACTGGCTCAGCCAGAACTACTTTTATTCAAAATTATTCAAACAAACATTGAGGGGGGAAAAAATCAACCTGTAATTCCATAAACCTCTTTAGCAGCAACTACTTAATCACCTTAACAAACTGCAGGTTTTATGTTCATAACCTAAAATTCCACTGCAAAGCCACGGGCCATAATTCTTAATAGGAAACTACAAAAAAAGCCTTAAGCACAATTTCAGCTCCAGACCAGGAAGCGCACACACATGGGGCAAGAAAGCAGCTCGCCTTGGAAAGCAGCTGTACCAACTGCAGGCAGACAGGCTGCGTGACTGAAAACCAGAGCCCAGGACACTACAGAGCTGGCTCATCTCCTTTTGGAGGCTGCAGCTGTTTTCAGAGGAGGGCCAAACCCTGTGCTGGTGTTGTAGTGCTCACTCCAGGTGACCAACTGCTCTTCCTAGGTGAGCTCTGCCAGCAGGAATCTCACTTGGAAAGTCATTGCACTGCAAGGCAAGGCCACCTACACCCATCTCAGCAGCTGAATCGTCTTCCTATGTAAAACCTCTGTGTCTCTGAGAGGCTGCTGGCTCCAGGGCAAGGGACAGCAACCACCACTGTGCTGGCCTCTTGCCAGCAAACATTTGAAAACAAGTGATGGAATGCTGTTAGCACAACTGACCATGAAGACTGCCATTCTCCTGTTGCAGGCGTTGGATAATAAAAGATGGTTTGGGGGCAATTCTGTGCCTTCTATCTGCATCCTATCATGATGCCATATTGTAGATTCACCTTTTTCATTTATGTTAACAGGGAACTTTTATCCCCTAGTAACATAGATGACAATAAGGAATCTACATTCACCACACTGAAAAATAAAAATTACTTGCTTCCCACCCTGTTGTGATTTGAGGACCTCTGGAAAAACCACTTTAAACAAACAGTGGTCCAGGTGGCTAGCGAAAGGTTTTCTACTGACAGCTCGGCAAGAATCAGTAGCAATTGCAGAAGCAATGAAGAGAAGTCACAGATCCCTTTTGAATGGCTCCTGCCTGGCTAGCCAGACCCAGACTGGGCAGCTGGACATCAGAGGGAGACAATGCCTCCAATAAACAAAGGCATCTCTTGCAGCTTCTTGACTTGGGCAGCTCTCAGGGGCAGCTGTGGCAGAAGACTGAGCTAGGGTGGGCTGGCACTCCCAGCTGCAGTTACACTGCGATATGCTAACTTGCTTCCAATGCCAAATGTCACTGTCTACAAAACATTATGAAGGTAATTGTAAGCTGAACTATGAAATGTTTTCTAATCACAAAAGTGTTGTCTGTTGAACAATTGAGCTGAGCCTCTTTCAATAGCTCAAGTTACTCATCTAAGAAAGCCTAGCCTGCATTTGAGAGGAATATTTTTACCTTGTGTTTACTATTTCCTACTCAACTGTAAACACAATGCAGAGCTGCACAACTTCCATCACCTGTGAAAGTTCACAGAGTGCTACAGAAAAGGCTATTATATTTTGGATCTTTTCATGATACAAATGTGCAACAAAGAAGAGGACAAACAAAACAGAAGCTGATTTATACCTTCCTTTATATTAACCTCTTGCACCCAGCTATGCAAATTTCTCTGTTCCTACCAACCATAATTCAGAGCTAGATCAAGCAACTGACTACTTAAACCCACACTGAATACTGTATTTTCCAAAATGGATGTCATACCGTAGTGACCCAATATTTAAATTCTCAACCAGAATGTATTGCAGAAAAAGCCTATACTTCTAACTAACCATATTAGAGCAACCTTAATATTTTCTGTAAAAATTAAGTTTACTCACGCACACAACTGCATTTGCATGCTTTCAGTATCTCAGTATCTTCCAAAACAGAAGACAAAAGATAAAAAATTGGACAGCGTAGAGAGAATCACAGACTACAGGATGTGAGATGACACAGCTACAATTACTGGCTGATCACACTTACTCTGCATTCAACAGCAGCAGACCATTAAAGCCCTTAATACTTTTATGCATGCATTGTTCACTAGTCTGGTACAACAGTTTAGTGCTGCTCCAGCTGATGAGAGATCAAAATTTTAGCATTTTATCAACAGCTTACTGTTGCCAGTGGCAGGAGGGAAGCATGGCACTGGAGGCACGGGCGGGCTGCCTCTGGCACACCCTCTCTGGAAGCTCTGTGGCAGCGCTGGGGCAGCCCCGGGCACTGCTCTGCCAGCTGGGCACCGCGCCTCAGGCGCTGCTGAGCCAGGCTGACAATCTAACCAAGTGTGCTGCACAAGGTGCCAATGCTCCAGCATGTGTCAGAGCCCCCTCAGCTCCAGAAAGGCTCTTTTTCAAGGGGAGTTTCTCCTCTGAAGCCTAACAGTACAAAGGAGAGAGCAAAATTAACTTCTGGGTCATCCTATGGATAAAGGAGTACAGAGAATTTTGGTTAAGGAAATGAGCTAGCTATTTCACCTGAGACAGCAGCGGCATTAAATTTATTCTAGAGTAAGACCTTCAGCAAGTTGACATCTCAAATTTGACTCTCTGAAACTAAAATGCTGGAAAACAGCACAAACTCTAAACCTCAAAGTTCTAGGATTAAGTAGGCAAGAGTGACCTATGCAATTGAACACAACACTAAGAGAGTTGGAAGAAAACCCCAGTTCTTCCAGCCATTCACAAAATGTTGACCAAGATTTTTGTTTCACTTATGCCAAACTTGGGAGCCCATTCAACAAAAAGTACTGCCTTCAATTCAGAACTGCCACACATTTATCACCTAACTGATCACTAGATGCATGCAAATCAGAATTCCAAAGTTCGTGCCCAATTACTGGAAGCTCATTTAGTAAGTCTCTTTTCAGGTATCTCCATGAAGTGACATGGCTACACAGACTACTGAATGTACAGCACTACATATCTGAACTGCAAAGAAATCTCCAAGACTTAATATCAATAGTTCTCAGTAAGAAAGATGTTTTAACATGCAATAAAAAATTGGCAGAATGCATTCTTCCTTCCATTTCCATCTGAAAAACATAGAGGGTTGCTCCCTACTCCCAGACCCTATAAAAAGCATCTCAAAAATAATGTAAAAATTTGTACTTAAACAATAATGAAGGAAAAAAGCAAGGTGCACATTCTCTATTTATACGATACAGTTCAATGCACTTACACAAAAGGAAAAGATTTTGCTGAAGTCCTGAACAAACAACTCTTCTAGAAAAACATGTAGAGAAACCCAAGTACTTTTCATCTGAAAGCATATCCAGTCGTTCTTACTCTGTCACCTATTTACTAAAGAAATGGTGAAAAGTTGCCCATCTCTAAGTGTCACAAACAGCTAAACCAAAGAACAAACTAAAAAACCAGCCACTGCTGCAAGTGCTCCTGTCTTAGCAAAGACATTAAAATCCGCATATTCCAGTTACTTTTGAAAACTGCATTGATGAGTAGTGCTTCCTGCAGGACCTTTTCTCAGCCCAGCCACTGAAAAATAATGTGCTAAGCATGAAACTCACAATTCCAAATGATCCCATTTAATCTTGTCAATTCAGCAGCAGCCCATTCCAAATCCAGCAGTATACAGCTTGAACACAGAAAATAGCAATGATTTCACAAACCTACAAGGAGCAGTTGGCAATTAGCTGCCCTACATTCCCCAAAATACCATCCTGCCCCTACAACTTCTAATAAATTGTTATTTTAGTATGAAAATACTCAATTTACTTTTAACTTGGATAAGAGACTCCCTACAGAACTCAACTAAACATCTATGCAGGTTCAGGATTCCCCAGGATTCAGAAGTATAGACATGTTTTACTTTTATTTAAAACTTGTTTCAGCAATTCCTAAGACACTTCTACCCATGACAGTATGGAAGCCTTGTAACATTTCAGAAGGGAAATTCATGTTTTAGGGGAAAAAAAAAAATCTCAACCCTCCTCTAAAACAAACCCATAGTAAACAATCCCCCTCCCCCCCCCCAAAAAAAAAAAAAAAAAAAAAAAAAAAAAAAAAAAAAAAAAAAAAAAAAGAACAACAAAAAAACCAAAACACTCAAAATCCATCATCAAATTTACTTAAAGACAAAAATATGAAAATATGTTACAGCTTCATTACAATTAGTCTTGGGATTCTCATGCATACAAAAAGGAACTCCTCTATTAGAATCACGGAATCCCTGAGGTTGGAAGAGCCCTCCCAGCCCATGGAGTCCCAGCTGTCTGACACCTGACTCAACCAGAGACTGATCAGAGTTTAGACTACACACTCCAATTTGGTAAAATAGTTGCTTTAAACTAGAGGTCCTAGGAAAAGGAAACAACTGGAAACAAATGGGAACTGTTATTAGAAGCAGCTTTTAGGGTTCAAAGGCTAATTAGTGCAACTTTTTACATAATCATAACTATCGTCTCATGCCCGTGGCAGAAAGCTTGAAGTAATTGAAAACATTTATCCATCTTAGAACTACTGTAGTAATTTTTAAAGTTTTTATTAAGTTAAAATCTTGCCCAATTGGCAAATAACAATAAAGGCTTTTCTTGATTGTGTTTCCACTGCAGTGTTTCTGAAGTACTTGGGTCAGGGTGTGGCAGCTCTATTTTACAAACACTGACCTGCTGCACCTCGCAGCAATTCCTGTACCAAAGGAAACAGCAAACAGCGTAGCAGTTTCTGTTCAAGCTTAATAAAGTGAAGAACTTCACTGGAAAATATTCTGTTCTGGGCTTTCTGCCACACAGGAAGGGTGTTGAACATGTCAGTGTCCTCAATTATTATCAACAGAAAAAATACCAGAAAGCAGCAGTTCAGCTCTTAATTCTTTCATATTATCACTTCCAAGACTGAAGGACAATTTACATCTTCCTCCCCTCACACTCATTTTATGTGTCTGTACATTTCACAGTAAGGCTCCAATTCTGAACTTTGTGCAACACAGATGATAAATGACTATTTAATTTTTTTTAGCTTTCATCAGAATTTAGTTATGTAATAGCAACATATTTAATAGCCTTTTCATAAATGGAAAAAGGAAGAGGTTTTAATCTCCTTTTCAAAAGAAAGAAATATTCCATTATAATTTTTTCTCTAGGACTAATAAAAAGATACAAACATTGCTTGGGCAGGGAAAGGAACACTAACAAAAGCCTTTAGTGCACACACATCTGGAGCTGTTCCCGACAGCACTGCCCTGCCTGCTCCCTTGGCAGGATCCAGCACAGCTGGAGCACAGGGCTGTCCTGGACAGGGCATCCCTGCCTGCAGAGCCCAGCTCTGACACTGCCACTGCAGCTTGGCCACACCACGGGCACACTCCTTGCACACTGCAGCATCAAATGCACCACCTTAAAGCCACCACCAACATACTTCAGGCAAATGAGTCCTAAGCCATTTGTGACAGGCTATGATGGCACAAGGCAAGCTGCTGTTTGGAGAGCGGCGACTGAAGGTATCCGTAACTCTTGGCTGACTTCTCACACTGCAAGGGCCTCTGGCAGTGATATCCTGCACACTGCAAATGTGAATACTAATTTTAATACTGCTTAGAAATTTTTAGGGTCGCTATTGTCACCTTAAATTACTTTTGAAACTATTAATTTAGGCATTAATTAATTATTAATTAAGATTCAAATTTCATCATTCTGCGGAAAACTTTTAACAATATGGTATCATGGGTGTGAAAACCGTTGATATCAAGAAGCTATAACCTAATTCTCGCCTTTTAAAAAAATGTTGATATGGGACAACATAAGAACTATTATATTGTTTGCATTCAGAGCTACCATCTTGAATCAAGTTGTGATTCATCTTCAAGGAAGTTACAAAACAGAGACAGCAAAGCAGATTTATTCTGAGGTTCAGATGTTACAGTTTGTGTTTGTGTATAAAGGCAACAAAGACGATCATTATTTCTCAGTACGATACAATGAAAGCCAAAGTATCCCTTCTCTCTTTGTGTTCCTTAAATTAAAAAAAAAAAAAAAACAAAAAAACTTTAGCTGGAGTGTTTCCTTGTAGAACTGCTATATTTTCCACTTGAATGATTTTTACAAATTAAGGCTGAATTTGATTGCAAATGCAATTTTAATTTTCCTGTAGAAATTATCGCTTTAGATACACACCCATAAATGTGCTTCAGTTTTAAAATGTATTAGAACCTTGGTATTGATAACTGAAAACAAACTCAGAGTTTAAAGACCATTTTAAAATAAAGTACAATTAATCATACCCAATCTGTATGCGCAGAACTTAAGCACTGAACACTTGGCTTTGCAGGACTTACAAGGACTGATTCTAATGTTGCATCAAATCTACACTAGCTTTTCTCTTTCTTTGCCACTAAACCTGCATTTCCAGTCTGACTTATAACAGCAGTGCAGACGTTCCAAGGGATACAGAATACCAGAATGATGCTTCTGTTTAATGCAGTAACTGAGCCCCTTACATTCATATTCCAAAAGCGATACACGAAATAGACTATGGCGGCACTGGGTCACAGGCTACAGAAACACACAGCCATGGCTGTTGCAGCAATGCAGTAGGAGACAGCAGTGAACTCCACACACACTCTGCACGGATGGATTGCTGAAAACGAGGCAGATACCTGTTCCTTTACAGAAGCTAGAATGGTCGTGGCAGTAGTCTCTGGTTCCATGCCTGGGCCTGTGGAAGCCTCCTGTGCTGTCTGCGGCAGCCCCTCCTCCACCATTGGGCTCTGCTCAGGGGCTGGCATTTTGCCTGCAATAACAAGATTTTAATATAGTTTACATTTTCAGCCAGTGATGTTTAAAATCCAAGTTTTAAGGATTATTTATTATATTCATTTTTTTCTAGCTTTCCAAACTTCACTAAATTAGCAGAGAATTTTGCATTACTCAATTTATGTCGTGTGACTGTTTCACTTTCACAAATGGAGACCAGAATCACCTACACAACTCAAGGGTTAGGCAGGAGCAAGCACGCTGCATGATGCCTCAAGATTATTTTAAAAAACACTGCTTTGTGGTGGTCAATAAAACTAGCACAATTCAAGATGCATGAAAAATACTAGTGTTAACTATTAAGCACACCCAGGATCGGTACGAGTTTACCACGCGCAGTTTTCGGCACAGAAGAATGACACATAACAGCAGACTGCTCTGCTGTCAGGAACAAACTATGGAAGAGACTAATTATGGTAATAAAAGCTTAATGGGAGCAATGCTTCTAATGCTCTTTTCGCAAAAGAGGAAATTAAAATGCTGAAGTTAAAGCAATTGCCTCGGGCTATGGATAGTGTGGAAAGGACTGACAGGATTAGCGTCCAATAATCCCAAGCTGTGTTATTGCAGAGGCAGCACACTAAGAACTCCAATCCATGGAAAAGAGCAATTAATTTGTTCAATTATCAAAGTCACTATTAACCAATATTACAGAGATAGTTACAAAGTGTGTTTAACGCTTTGAAAACAGCAAGTAAGTGGCGTTCACAAAGCTGCTACGCAGATACCACACTTTAATTTTCTTCAGAAAATCATGCTTGTGAGGTCTAATGTTAGAAGTAATCCGTATTTCATTTTAGATCTTCAGAACAAACTCACCCAATATTCCTAGGGCAGACAAACAGGAACAGATTCCTTCCCCATTCCATTCATTATCAAAGGGAGAGGAGATGCTTAGGCTGCAAATGGGCTCCAAGGCCAGGAACAGACCCATGAGACCCCTCCGTGTGGAGCTGTATAGCCATGGGCACCTGAATGAGCACAGGGCAATGCACAGCATCAGTGCACACCTGTGCTGCAGAGCTGCACGTTTCTGACAGGGTTGAAAGCGGACTTGAGTTGACCCTGGAGGGATCTCTCCTGGGATTGCTGGCCTCTTGGGAGGTTTCTCCCTCCCCCTGAATGCAGAGCCCAGGCAAAGGCAAAGCCCTGTGCTGCTAATGGAGAGGTGATGGTGTAAAAACAAGTGGTTTCCTTCTGCTCTATGTACAGCAGCATATGGGCTATGAGAGGAATGGCTTCTCCCCAGGCCCATGAGCTCTTCTGGCACTAGCACAGGCTCTCTGTTAACCATTTTGTTCCAGTCTGCTAAAAGAGCTCGTGACATGGTTCATGTGCAGTTTCACATCAGCCACTGAGGGATTCAAAGAGTTTTTGGGGAAACTCAGGTGAGATGAGTGATGAGAGGCAGTGGAGCAGTCTCGGGGGCAACCTGTGGTGCAGAAGCCTGGTCACCCACCAGTTTCCACCACTGCAAATGGAGAAAGAAAAGCTGCTTCCCAAACACATCAAAGAAGAAGCATAACTCAGAATGGCAGGACTTTTCCCCTCAGCACCCTGCAGGTGAAGCACAGGGAGGCTGCCCTATACATACCCTGAAATGAGCCTGTATGGACAGCCCATTCTTACCATACATCTACACCACACTTATCTTCTAGAACAGGGAAAAGAAACTGCACAAAAGTTTCTGCTGTCAGGACTGCACAAGGACACCTGAACATGCTAGCCCAGGCACACCAAGAGCCACACCACTCTACTGCCTTCCCTCCCGACAGACATGGCGCTCCCCTCACCTTCCTCCCCACACACATGGCGCTCCCCTCGCCTGCCCCACGGTGAGCGTACGTTCCCTCCTGCCCCACGGTGGGGGCCCTTCTTTCAGAAAAGGACTGCTTGTTGGTCCGTGTATCCCACTGTGTCTCCACCTGCACGTAACAGGACAGTGCTTGCTTGGGCAGGGATCCTGTTTGGGACTTCCAGGAGAGAAGTACAAAATACAGCAGTGAAACAATCTCAATTTGGCTTTTCTATAGTTTTCTCTCTCTTCTCACCCCAACACTGTGAATAACTTCTGCAGCAGATTTCTGTAATAAACCAGTCTAGAAAACATCCCTCTGAGCTGGCTGGAAGGTGTACTAATTCGTTGGAACAAAAAATCTACCCAGTATTGAGTATATAATAAAAACATCCGCATAAAAACCAATCAAATTAATTATTAGTGAAGGTGTCAGTGTTAAATGTACATCTATCTCAGTGTTAAGAGATGTAATCACAGCCCTACACCCTTTCACATAGGCAGTTGTTTCAACTGCTGTTCCTTCAATTAACACATTTCTTGGCAAAGTTACTGATTTTCTAATCTTGATTCCAACATTAAATAACTGTTGGCTCTGGTCCTACAAACACTTAGGTACACACTTGGGCTAATAAACAAGCCTGCTCATCCCTCCCCGCCCTGCCTGCTCCAGGCCCGTGGGCTCAGGTGGCAGCACAGGAGAGCAAGGGAGCAGGAGAAGCTCTCCAGGGCCCAGTCCCCACCCCTACAACTCTGTCTAGGGATGCTGCTCAAGGACAGCACCACAAAGTCACAAAGTCAAGGCAGGTTCTCATCCTCACCTTATAGGAACAGGAAATAGCAAGAGGAGGTTTTGTGAGAGCCTTGAAATCTGGTATGAGTAAGAAGTTGAGAGAAGTTAATACAAAACCCTCTTCCTTCCCTACACAAGACTGGGATTTACCTACTCAAAATACTCCCTGGACTTGTGCTACCACTCCTTTGAGGATAGGTAACTGATTCATTATTGGAAAACCAACAGCCAGATTCCATGCCTCAGAAAGATTAGGTTGAGAGCAATTTTGTCTGTCATGGCTGAGCAGTCAGACATCACCCAGAACAGGGAGTGCTCCCACATTTCTCCCAGGCTGTCCAAGCCCTCGCTCCCCACAGCCCCATGCTGCAGTTTCCTAGGTCCTGCCCCGGGCTGCTCTCTGCAAGCCCTGGGCACTGAGCGATCAGGCAGTGCACACAGGTACCATCAGAAATGCACCTTAATGCTTCCCTGCATTCCAGGTCTTTTGATTCTCAAACTGCTCCTGCACTGAAGATCTAGGATCTCTGTAGCCACAATGAAAGCTCAGAAAATGTATTTTACTGTTTATAGCTCTGTTCAGCGCATTTCAGCACACCTGACTACATCTTAACATCACTGAACATCAAAGGTTACACACTAAATTCTCTATTGCAAAGAATACACAAGAACTGGAAGCCTTAAATGTTCTGGAATGATCTTTTGGTGGATGCTGCAGAACTAAGACTTGTGCATGGTGTAAACGTCTCTAATAGAGCTCAAGAGTATAATGTGAGAAGCTTGGAAACAGGGAGAATTTGTTGTGCATTTCAGTCTCTGGTAAAAAAAATAATGTCTTTCAATCACTTAGATAATTTTTCAGGAAAATACTTAAATAGTTCATCTTGTAGCATAAGTCCAAGAAAATTCTTAACATCTGTTTTGAATTTTCATATTCTCTATTTAGAAGTAAAGACCAAAAGCAGTGATAACCTTGCTCCAGGCTGGCACGTCCAGATCAAGCGTGCAAGAAAGACAAAGCTGCTCAATTTGAAGCCTCCAGTTTGAAATACCCCACAATAATTTTGAGAACAGTGGTTTTCCCAGCCCCTCTGCTGTAGAGACTCACTCCAACGGCTTTATGAAACCACACAGTAAATCAAAGCAGAGCAAACCAAGCCACCATAAAGACTCAGCTTCCTATCCATGGAGGGCCAGCAGGGACCAGCACACTGGGCAACTGCCCCCCACCTAAACACCTAAAGAGCCCCACAGCTGCCCCTTCAGAGGGCAGTGCTGCCTGCACTGCGCACCCCCTGCCCTGCTCCCAGCCCTTCCCTCCCGCAGGCCCCGCACTGGGCTGGGCAGTCACCCGGCAGCAGGCCAGCCCGGGCTCTCACACTGCTCCCAGCGCACAGGGAAGGAACCTGGGAAATGCCTTCTCTTGCGTCTGACTGACTGCTCAGACACTGCACAGCCAGCAGTTCAGGGAGTTCATCTGACTCAGCCTTGCTTCTGGGGACCAGACACGGGAGTGTTTTCCTGAGCCAGCTATCTTGCAGCCAAGTAATCACTGACACAAGGAAGCAAGAACATGCTGCTGAGAAACACAGAAGAAATATGAGAAATCACTAAACCAAGTGTAGTAAACCATACGTTAAGTTTTCATTGTCATTAGTCTCTACTCCCCACTTTTCAGTGCTCCTCCTGTTATTTTCTTAGACATATCCAGACAGCTTGCCAGTACTGAATAATCCCACTTCTTTTAGTGCAGGCCCAAGAAAAAGCCAGATCTTTTGAGGATTGATGCCAGATAGAAGTGGTGCTTTTTCACAACCTCTGAATCCCTTCCCTTCGTATTCCTCCTGCCTTCCTTACATTGGTTATTCTTCCAAATTTGCTTCTTACCTATGTTCCCTGTTTCTGAGCCTCCCCTTGCTGACCTGCAGCCAGTAAGAACAGTCACCAGCACAATTCATGCTGAAGAGGTAATAAAATTCTTACCAACTCTGCCAGCTAGGACATAATGATGATGATGATAATAATAATAATAATAATAATAATAATAATATATTTCATGAGGGCAACATGCAAAAAACAATGGACACCCTCTCATCACTGAAAATCCTCATATTTATCTAGCTACAAGGGTAATTCAAGGAACAACAGTAAATTACCAATGATATTAGACAAATACTCACTAGTACAGAGGGGAAAAGGCTCCTATAAGCTAAAATCATCTTTCTGGGACACTAACATTATTTACTACATGACAAAGTTATTCTTGCATATCTACACTTAGAGCAACAAGGCGAATCTCAGCGCTTGGTCAAAGACTCTGCTCATCCTTTACAGTGTGCGTGAAAAGTCAAAACCTGAACAGGACGTACTACGTTTCTAGTTTTTACAGGAAGGTATGATTAAAATTTATCTGTTTTCAGGTTCCTTCACAGAGCTGTGAGAACACTTCCAGGCAGGAGCAGTTCCCATTGGTTCCACCCTGCTGCAAGGCCAGAGCTGCTCACCTAGAGCCAGGCAGGGATTCACACGCTCGAGCTTCCTGCAGCCAAGCGACTGAAGCACGCTCTGCGCTCTGTCTGCCAGCCTGCAGAATGTCTTCGGGTGGAGAGGCAGCAGATGACAACTTACCCACTTGCAAAGATGATGCAAGCAACTAAAAATGGATTCTGTCAAAGATGGCTCCAGTGTTTACATAAAAGACAGGGTTTGAAATTTCCAGATGCAGTAGGGGAAGATACTCCAAACATCAACTGCAGGCTAGCCACTGTGTTCAGGACAGGTTTTCTTTATGGACATTAGTAGTGCACAACTTCATGCGGACTTAAGGATGAAATCAAGAAAATAAACACGTTATCTGATGAAAACACAGAAGAAAGTAATTTCAGTAATGGCAGGATAAAGACCACCTGCACAGTTGTGCAGACTGAGTCCCATAGTCAAAAAGGAAACCTGCACACACCTGACCTATTGCCTGAGAGATGTGGGAGATGTGTTTAACTGATTTACCACTAAATTTAGCCTCTTCCTAATCCCTTTTTCTTTACAACACATATTTTTTCCTCTTTCTTATTTTTTGTTTTTTACTTAAATATATGCAGGTTCAAAAACCATTTGGTACTATGTCCTGATTAAAATCTTAAAATGTACATTACCCTAGCATTTGATAAACATATTTTTGTTACAGTTCCTAGGAAAAGACAGTTTTTTGGGTTTTTTGGCTGATGGCTACATACTTGAACTCCACTCCAGTGAGCAGGCAAGATCCTACATCCACAAATATCTAGTTGTAACATGCTCATGAGACTAATATCTTTTATAGCTTTCAGGTGAACCATTCACCAGAAGGTATCAGACATGTACAGCAAGACAACCATTCTG